CGAAAAATAAAATCACAATTATCTAAGCAAGTGTAATAAGCAATCGGATAGATTAAACTGATATTATTTCATCTGTATGCGAGACGCATCTAGGCAGATTCATACAAGGACGATCTTATCATGTGTTCAATCCTACACACAGAATTAACAAGGAGATTACAAATTCAGGAAAATAGTTTTGATAAGATTATCCCAGCCATTTGCAAAAACTCAATGAATTCTATAAATATACCAAACTTTTATTCCAAAATATGAATATTTATTAGACTGATACTTAAAGGATAGGAGGCCATAAGGATTTTTAAGGGGTGAAATCAACTCTATCCAGTTTCTTCGTACAAGAACTACGAAAAATCATAAATAGACTAGTCAGGCTAATTCCCCGAACTACCGTATTCATTTGTCGAGTTTGTCTGATCTCATTTATTCTGTTTTGATGTGTTTTCAGGGCGACTTTCAAAAACGTACATGTTATATCCCGGTCTTCAAATAAATCATGCTTTGCTGCGCTCTCAGTTGTAGTGAGCAAATTCAGCCCATCTTATCTGTACCAGATGTATGGCAATTATTACTTGAGTAGCTTGCCTAATAGCGTAATACGGGAGCTGGGTAGGATCGGGCCAATGCATGGCTCGAGACGAGGAAATTATATTGTGGCCAGACAAATAGTCAATTTAATACCTCCTTTTGTTCATACAACTTCCAAAGCGAAAAGGTTTGACTTTGTCTTTTTAACTTGATATGTTGTTAGAACGACCTAATTTGTCAGGGTAGATATGATAATCTCAGCATTTGAGAGTAGATTCGGCATATTCTATGGTCCAAAGTTGGTCCAAATTAAGTGCCTTCAATTGCAGATAATGCCGTACAAGGTAAGTATTTCAAGATTGTTCTGACTGCTTGGCCGACTTACGAAAAGTAGGTCAAACCAATTATCTACAGCACAAGGGGATTGAGACGAAAATGTAGGTTGCACAATCATGGTCTTCATTTGTCAATTCTAAATCCCATTCGATGGTGAGGTGTACGCGAGAATTATTTCTCATGACCAAAAGGGTGTGACCTTTTGTTTACACGCAGACTCCCTTACCTGTATTGCGTGGGTTTGACCTTATCTTAGCAACCTTGGCGTCTTGACGAGTTCCTGCATCGGACCGTTGACGCATTACATTCACAGAAGTTTCGACGGCGTCGTGGTCGGCATCGTCCATGAGCAACAACGTAGCATATCATGTGTACTTGTCCTATTTCGTTTAGGGTGATAGGGTACTATTAATTGAATTTTCCCATAATTTTATGAGTAGACATGACGTTCCCATTGAATTTCACATAGTATTGCTTTCCCAAAAAGTATTTTTTTCCAGGGTGGACTACTGGTAGTCTCTAAGGCCTACTTATAAACAAAAAATAATTAATGCAAATGATTGCTATAGCATGTACAACTGCTTCTTCGACAATCCCACCACAGAATGTGATATGGCCTTTCTTGAACTTCTCATCTGACCTGCGAAGCAAAAACAGTCGTGGCAATGTGGCGAACTTATGCGGTGCATTGTCATGATTCGAGTCCCACTGAGGGTTCCGATGATGACTAGGTGAGGTCGAAACTCCAGTCCGTTATGGATAAGAATAGTCTTTAGCAAAACAATACTATGGGAAATTCAATGGAAATATGAGGTGGCAAAATTCAGCTAATAGTCCCTTATCGCTCTAGACGAAATAGAATGAATACATCTAATATATACATGATCTACTGGTAGTTTTGTAAGCCTATTTAAAAACGAACTATAACAACAGATCAGTTTAGAACTTTTATAACTTCTAACTTTGTGCTAAGGATGGTGCCTATCACTTACGATGCCGGCGAAACGACTTGCATGTACCAAATCGACGGTACATTCTGAAAATTATCCACAAGGTCTCCCTGTCGCTCAGAAGAACTTGAGAAAACGAGGTCAACCCAAATGAAATTGTTCGTTTATTTTATTGAAAAGCTCAGAGCTGGAGAAAAATATGACATTACAATTTCCTGAAAGAGTATTTGCACTGAATGAAGTTAATAAAAAGCATATAATTAGATTTATTT